TTTTGTTCTCTTATCTTTAATAAAGAAGCTGAAGAATATAAATAGAAAACTCTGTACATTTAATATAGTAATATTTTTCCGAAACCTTAATTACATCTTGTATCACCTGGTTTCTGTGCAGTTTAGACACTAGAAACCAATTACATCGTGAAGCTCCCAAGATTTTATAAAAAAGGTAAAGCTCAATTAAGGTGTCAGATTACTCATATCCAATTCGTAACATCGGCGAAATAAAAAGATAAATAAATTACTAAATTTTCAAAAGATAAGTGAAATCTCAACATATAGGGTTTTTGGGTCAGTTAGTAATAAGGCCTGTTCAGCATAATGAGGGCGCATCAAAATAAAACATTTGATGCAGCAGTTAATTTAGTTTCAAAACATGTTTTTCGTTCCCAAGTTTTAAGTAAAGCATGATATAGACCAGGGCTGTGCAGATCAGGTAAGAACACTATTAAATTACAATTTAAATAATTTAATAAATGAAAGTTTTAATAATAAAAACGGAATTCAAATCAAGCTCAATCGGCAATTAGGACCTATTATGAATTCCAATGGCATATCAGATATTTTTAATTTGACATTAAAGTTGCTCACGCGACTTAAAACAACAGATATTTTGAGATTTTTGTCATGTAGGCGCTTTTTCATTTCTTAACCGCAATTTATTTAAATGACTTAATTAACTTTAACAACAATAATAATAAATAAAACATTTTCCCGCGGTTAGATGTAACTAAGATTTATATTCAACAAAAAAGTATAGTAAGTAAAATAATTCATATAAATTAATGTGAATAAATTAGGAATGCTAAAGTTTCTCTATATTAAGAATCTATCTTAGTAATTAAAATGATTAGAAAACTATTTCTACAAACTTTACGTGTTTAAATTATAGGCACGTTGATTCTTTTTATTATAAAAATTTTATTCGTATATACCCAATATGAGAAATAATACGTTCAATAATACGCTGGCATTGTCTTATTACAATAAATTGAAATGATATATCAATTTTTTCACAACAAAGACATACATTTCGAATTATCACAATAAACGTTTAATTTTGTTTTTTTTTTGTTCTTTCTTTTTAGTTCAATTAATACACAAACCAAATAGGTCTGTTGAATTATCTTATTGAATATGTTTAATGCAAAACTCATATGCAACCCTGCGAATTATTATAATAATAAATCTACATCTTATCTAAATCTAAATCTGGCAAGACTTTTATGTTTAAATAGATATACGTATTATGTTCGAATTTTGTTCGAAAAATTTGTACGGATTAGTGAAAAAGTGAGAGTGTGTGCAAAAATCTTGCCAAAGCCTAGCTTGTGTAGACGCAGGGTTTCATTAAGACACATATCACAATAAATCTTACTTATTACAATAATTGAAGTTATAAATAATCCACAATCGTTTACACATAATTGGTGTGATATATGACTACTTTCAAAATATTTTGTCGTTTATAATTACAGCTTCTAAAGGCTATATTCTAAAGGTTATTCTATATAATAGAATAAAGCTGTTTTTTTTTATGAAATTCACTTGAATCTGATATTTCAATGCTAATTGATGTTGATGAAATTCGTTTCTGAATTTTAAGAGAAAAAATTCGTTAATAATCTTTCACTCTTAATACCAAAAACTCAAAAAGTGAACTTAAGATTGAAATCATTCCCCAAAGCTTACTAAACAATAATAAAGGTGGTCCTTCCGATACTATGAAAGATGTCATCCGTATGCCAGAAGTAAAAAACTCCCTTGAATGGAAAAGTTCTAAACGTCTAGTGCACGAACATCGTCCCTTTGAGAAGAAACGGCTCCTCAATGCATTAGAAGGATACCAACCTAAAAAGTCTATGAACCTAGCAAGCCGTGAACTATCGGAACCGATATCGTAATACTGAGTTGATTCTGTTTTATTTGAAGTAGCTGACTGATACAAATTTTGTTTAAATAGGATTGAATAAGTCTTCTGATCTACTAAGAATCTTAAATTAAATGATATTAAATTTGGCTTTTGTATTTATTTTGTTCAATATTTATTGTCATTTAACTTTAATTAAAGTATTTAAGGATACACCTGTACTTCCATACAGAAATTAAAAATGATTACAATTAATACAATTGTTTTTATTTTATTTTAATTTATTAATTAATTAATAGTTATTGTTTTTAATGGTGTAAACTGCCACTTAATTAAAGTAACAAATTTCTTTATACAAAAAATATTTAAATTATTAATTTAAAAATTAAGAAGAGAAGTGTTTTTTACATTCAAAAATAAGTTTTTATAAAAAATTTCGGTATGTTCGATATGGAAAGGTGTTTGTAAATAATTATAAAAAAATCGCTCTAATAATTGACTTCTAACAAAAGTATCTTGCATTTCATAGATATGTACAGAAGTAGGGAATCCCGTGGAATGAAGAGTTACTTAAAGAAGAGATAATTTTTTGCTTCATTCATTATAGAATATTATAGAATATAGATGATGGAATGCAGTGAATTTATGTACATATATAGATGCTACCTGTACTATATAGATATTCATGTATACGTACATATATACTCGTGTAAGAAGAGCAAAAACTATATTTATTTGTTATGCTTGACTTATTACTTAATTAGCTTGAGCTTGAGAAAAAAGTTGATTCATTTTATTATATATAAATTTGATCAATACGTAAATAAATAATTAAAAATTAATTTATATTGTAATAATACAATAATAATTAATACAGAAATCATTAATAACCGTGATAATTGCAGTAAAAAATAATAAATGCACATAGTTTTATTTTAGCTGAGCAAACTTTGTTGCTAATTAAACTCAATTCAATATTGAAACTTCGGATTGCACGTAATAAATATTTTTATATACAGATAATCCAAAGCTTCCAAGCTTATAGGAAATTCTGGGCCAAAATAACTGTACAACTAAGCACAGATAAGGAATAAACTATTTTGATACTAGAAGGGTAAGCAATTAGCTTTTACGAGTCTACTTAAGAAGTTGACGGAAACATAAAATGCATTTAATAGACGTTTTTACGATGCAATAAAAATTATTTTAAATCTGTCTGAATGTTATCGTATTGATAACTACAATTTCCGTATTTACATTGTAGCTTTATTTCTATATCGAAAGAAAAAATTTTGTGATAAAATATGGATTTAGTAACACAGATTTCTTCAATTTGTAAGGATGAATTAAAGAAGATGAGTTGTAGCATAGAATAAACCAAAAGAAGTTTCTAATAACAGTGATATGTTCTCATTATTCCATAAGGCAACAGACAAGCACACATAAATCATTGCCTAATCTCAAGACTAAACCCGTACACCTTCCCCCTAACTTTCCCGTACACGGACTACTACCTTTCTTAATAGGGCAATTAATCATTAATCAGTAATTAACTAAGTTTTGTGGTTTCCAATAATTATGACGAGCGATTTCATTTTAGATTGCAATATTGATTTATGATTTAAATACTGTTTAATGGATGTAATTTGGTGTATCAAAATAACAAAACATTTTAAATACAAAACAGATTTTTATCTTTTGTGTGTGTGTAGTACGTATAAAACAATAATCAAGCCTTATCAAAAAAACGGCTTTATTGCTGTACTTAAACTATTGACAGATTACGAAAAATTTAATGGGCTCTCGTGTCACAGAATTGTTAGGAAAATTATTGCATATTACGATATACGATATCTCGGAATAAGCTGAACACATTTCAGAAAGACATTAGATACAAAAGCAAATTAAACATCAAAACAAAGATATTCTTATATCACTTAAAAACTGATGACAGTCATTTTTGTATAAATAATGATCGTTAAAAAAAATTTACAATTGCAAATTGAAGTTAAATGAATTTTTAATGGTGTTGTACAGCTATATAAATGTACAAAATAATGAATTTTTTTTTATTTAAGAAACTATGAAAAAAATTTGTTCCTCATTTTCTGACCCACAACTTCAATAGCAGTCAAAAGGAGTCTTTAATCCATTGATTTGCTTACGTATTAGTCAGTGTTCTGTTTGATACAGTGCATCAGCGAGTTGCGATAATTATCAATCGGTTGCTTTATTCTTATGGGATTATAGGTGGATCATGCGAAAACCACAACTTCGAGTGTAGTCCCTAACTTGTTGAGATGTATACATAATGGACAGTGTTCTATTAGTATATCACCTATTTTGGCCAACGAAATTTGACCAAAACCAATCAGTTACTTTATTCTTTTGTGATTTAAAACGCATTTTGAGAACTATCTTTATCTGGTTGACATGTCTCCATATATACGAGAATGAGACAATGTCTTTTTAGTGTATTTGTATTGGATACTTTAAAGCTATTAATTGAATTGTCCTTATGTGATTATAGGCAAATCGTAGCATACCTACCAAAACCATAACTTCGACAATATTCGTTCAAAAGATGTTCTTAGCAGTTGACTTGACTACATATTAGACAATGTTCTGTAAGTACGTTAACTGTGTTAGACAGTGAGTTTCGATAAAAAATCATTGCTAACTGTTTTAAATAGCGACCAATCAAGACCACTCAAATACTTGGTGCTTTTGTGGTTATAGGTGGATCACACAAGAACCACAACTTTGAGAGTAGGCGTCAAAAGGTGTTCTTAACCGGTCAAGATACCTACATATTAAACAGGGTTCTATTAGTATTTCACTAGTATTGAATATTGAAAGCGATTAGTTAGAGTTTATAAGCGAATTGTGACTTAAATACTTAAATAGTATATACGATGTATAAGAAGGTAACTGCGGGTATTTCCCAGTTTATTAATAACTGTAACTTTCTATATTCACAACCTACTCCAATTTAATGGAATTATTGTTTTCTCAACGATTAACCACTTAAAAAGTATTAATATATATTGTTCATACTATAAGTATTTTCAAGTCGTAATTTTATTTATTCATTCATTTGATATTATTTTTATTTTATTTGCAGATCGTAGCCTAGTTATAAGGACATGCACCAATAAAAGTGAAAGTTAAATACTCGAATTTTTTAAACAAACTCAGAGGACAAATTAAGTAAACAAAATGGTTTTCATAAAGCTTCCAGAATGTTGTAAGTATTTTTTTTTATCTAAAAGCATATACTATATATAAAAACATATGTATTTATTGCGAAAACTGTGTATATAAACAATTTAGAGCTGAGCAAAAAGGTTTTGCCAATTATTGCGAAACAATTTAATATATAACTTTCAAAAGAAGTCTTATTTATAAAATGAATTCAAATCAGAAATATTATTAAAAATTCATACAAAGTCCATTTGTTCTTGGAAATTTCTCGAGTTTTGATAATTTAAAGTATAAACAAGATTATTTATGACAATTCGGTTCAAGATCAAAAAACAACCAACAAATATTTTTTATAAACACTTTGAGTAACATTTGAAGCTGGACGCGAGCGCGTGTCTTATCATAAAAAGTTATTGTATATTTTAATATTAAATAAATAATTATAATAATATTTGCAAGCCATTTGGCAATATGTCGCCAAATGAAGAAGGCATCGATTGTGAAGGGAAGGTGGGCAGGGGCTGTGTCTAAAATGCGCTAATAAGAATTACGTGACAACGACGTCTATTAGCGCTTCAATGCGAAAAATAACAGAAGTCGTTTTAAAAATAACTGTCACACAAATACTGCATGCAAATTAAAACCGAAATATTTCTGATAATCAATATTCCACAAGGGGGTCCCATCACCTCATAACGTTTTATAGTCTTCACTTCTTGATTTGAAAGTAGTACAATTAATTTATATACTATATAAGCTATTGCCACTTTAAATTGAAATTCTAATAAATTTATTTCTACACGCAAATGAATATAAATATTCGTATCCAGTTTATTTTGTTCAAAAAAAAGGTAATTAAGTCTACAAACACCTTTCCTTTTTGTTAGTAACTTGTTTTGTACCAATCTATCCAGTACAGATAATAATATTATACACGTCCTCATAGTACCAATTATAGTCTTATAACAAGCGTTAAATCTTGGATGAAATAATACTGATGTCACAACTGTCTTTTTACGTCAATTTGCTGTTATTCTTAATTTATTTAATGTATTTTAATTTTTGTGTTTTATTCAAGATTTTAAATAATAAAATCTTTTGGAGCCTTATATTTGACTCTTAACAACACCAATCTGAGGTTCATTAAAGTTGAAACAAGACTATTAGAGTGTTGGAACCATTGATTTTTCGTGTGCTCATGTCTTCATTACTTCTTTGGTATTGGTAGTTGGTAGCTGTTAGGTGAAGGTATAAATAAAAATTTGAAACTTAACATATAGAGTTTGCAGTTAGAGTAAGCAGTTAGAGTATTTTGGACTGTAAATATGTACTAATTCTGGATATTGTATGTACAAACTGGCTTAGACGTGACTTTTTACAAAGATATGATATTCCTTAAAACTAGTAATAATTTCTTATTCGTCAGACCATATAGTATTTTTGACTCTATGCGCTAAATCTAGACATTATTCCATTGCTTCCTTTAGGAATATTGTAATATCATCCAGATTGGTTTACATTAAGTAGATACATATAATAGTATAATCGAATGTACCACTTACCACTTATCACTTACCATAGGGTTTTAACGCCCCAATAAAAACATATTAATATTATAGAATTTATTCGTCTTGGGGACAACGCCTCGGTATGATGGACCCTATTGTCCAACCCTCAATTTGCCACCCACTAACTGCAGTCCCGTTTGGCATAAATGTATGGAATGTAGACATTATATTATACTGTACTATGAAATCAAAATTTCAATTCACATTAATCAATAACAAAATTAAAATATTAATAAAAACAACTGCTAAAAACAACCGCCAACATTACAAAATCTCAAAGAATAACAAAAATAGAATAATGATAAAAACAAGAACTACCGCAAAATAGTAAACAAATTCTTGTATAATTACACTAACAAAACAAAAGCGCATATCATACTTCCGAGAAATATAAAAGACGTGCCGAAGAAGTAAACCGGACAGTCAGTAAAACAACGAGCTGGTATCCAGATCGTTCCAATAAGTGCTGAGTGTTGTTGAAGCAGAACTTTACATCTTTACTTTGGTAAACTTTATCACTAATCCATTGTCTTCCCGTCGCGGCTACGAAATTCACATTTCTTTAAATGACAGTCAGCTATGACAGTCGTGATCACATCGCATCACTAGCGCTGCTTAGTTTATAACATTCTCAGTTCTCCCATACTCGTAGGACTGGACGTAGGTAGGATCCGGCGAGATAAGCCTCGTTTCTTATGATATTCAATGTTTCTTTTATTTGTTTAATCCCAGTGTCTTTCCTTCGAAATGAACTATTAAGAATAAACTGTTTTAATCATAAACGATTTGCATTCAGATTATTTCATAAGAAATGTCTAAACAGAAATAAATTCAAGATTCTAGATAAATATAGAAATAACTGTTTTAGTAATTTCAGAGATTATAATAATATGTAATAATATGTATATAGTATTATTTTAATCTCGTAAATTATATATTCCATTCAGAAAGCACTACAGTGCTCTTTTTATGCTAA